AGATAAGGGGTTATTTGGTTTGGGCCTGGTTGATTTAATTTAAAAGGTGGCCCAGTCCGATTTCTTCTTCTTTTATTGCTTTTTTTTCTTTTATTTTTTCTTAAACTAAAACTAAATTCTAAAATCCTAAATTATCCTATAGAACTAAATTAATTTATAAAAGTGCAAATTAACTCTTAATAACAATTAACACACAATTAAATAGCAATTACGATAAAATCACACAATTTGGATATTAAATGCCAAAAATGCGACGTACATTATTTTTATGATTTTTTGTTCTTGTAAAACAAATTTAATTGCTGCTAATTGTAGAATTATATCCTAAATGCAAATGCGATATATTTTTGTATTTTTTATTAATTTAACAAATAAACATGCACAGACAAATACAATTATCCAAAAATGCCACGAAAATTCTCAAAATTGCACACAAAGAAAAATTATTTTATTTTGAATTTTTGGGAGTAATTCTCACATAGGGCAAAAATCTCGTGGTTACACCACTGTTCGTACATCAAAATCTCTACATTTCACAATTGTCGTGATTATGCTTTCCTTGAGTCAAACGTCTATTGGAAACAAACTCTCTACCTTCACAATGTATGAATAAGATTTTCATACACACTAATCTCCTCAGAATCAATTTATAAAATTATACTAGGTATATTGTTGTTATACAAGTCTACATTATTAGTTACTGCATAACTTATAGTCAAATCAAACGACTCCTTACGATTTAACTTATCTACATTGATACGTATATTTTAACATGTCCTAGTAGGTATTCTACCTTAGTTTTCATGTCACTTATAGCTCTTTATATTGAACAGTCATATACAATTACTTCCTCCGTTTCAATTTATGTGAACCTATTTCTTTTTTGATTCGTGCCAAAAAGAATGACCTCTTTCCTTATTTGGAAACAATTTACATTTATCAATAATTTATAGTCAAACAAAATATATGTGCCTCATTTTACATCACAAGTTCAAAAGTCTTCTCTCTTTTCTTAAACGTCGTGCTCAATCAAATGGGTTCACATAAATTAAAACGGAGGGAGTATTTTTTAAGTAAGCTGATAATATGTATATACTCGTATAAAGAAGTTAAACTTGGCTGCAGCTTTATTCACAGAGGATAGAGAAGACATGGAGAGCAGAGATCAGGTTGAGGCCCGAGGGCCTGGCGGCTAAGCAGTCAGCTTACAACCATGAGTGAATTTCAAAATTTAAATTTTATGGGTTCGATCAAATACGCAATTTTATCATATCCCATTTAACTTAATGAGTTCAAAATTTATTATTTAGAGTAATATTTTTAGCAAAAATATAAGGTAGAAACGAAAGCTAAATACGCGTACCGCCTACGTAGTAAACAAATCCCAGATAATTGCAAAAAAATAGTGCATATAAAAACTTAGATGTTGAATCAACACTTTGTGACTTAGTACTATAAGATAGCACAGATCGGTTCAAAGGGACTATATGTGTAAGAAAAAAACAATAATGGAGGCAATTTTATAATAGAGGTCAAATAAGAACAGTACTAATTAACAGACAGACACGTCAAGTTGTAATGTTACATCGTATTCAGCCATATTTAGCCGACACTAAAGACAAACTTGTTTCCTTCAAATAAACTTGGCTTGATTTATATCTCCCTTCTTCTTCTTCTTTTCCTTCTTTTTATTATTTTAATCTTAGCTTCTATCTATAACGTACTACTATTATTTTAAGACAAGTTGCTCAGGTTTGTCACCTTCTGTGTCTATATATATATAAGCAAAAGCAATAGCCGCAAAATGTATTCTTAGTAAAGTTTCTTGTCAAGACAAACTTGCAACATAATTTTGAACATAAAAATGGATTCTTATTCATATGCAGCTATTTCTTCTTCTTCTTCTAATTCTTGTTCCTCTAGTTCTGTTCCATATTCCAAATATCCACAAGAAGTAAAGAAAAACAAACCATTACCTTCATATCATTCCTCACTTCATGGAGTTCGTAGGCTCCCATTAAAACCTATGACAAAACAGCCAATTGCACCATTGCCACCAACACCTCCTAAAATCTACAGAGTGGAACCTGTTAATTTCAAGGAAGTTGTCCAAATGCTCACTGCTGCACCTGAGTTTCAATCCGTCTTCAGTAATTCGAACTCTGATTCTAGTTCTGGTTCTGATTCTAGTGCTAACAATTCCAATTCGAGGCGGTTGCAGGATGTGGCTCCTCCTCCACTTGATCTCTCACCAGTTTCATTACCAAGAAACAGCATCGCTGCAGAATGGCGAGAGTTCCTTCGTCCTTCTTCCTCCTCAAACAACCAAGTTGAATCAATTAGCACGGCCTGTAATGACTCAACAAATGAAGCACAAGAAAGATCACATGGAACGCCAAAAAATCCATCAGATAATATTTTTGGATCATGCAGTCCGCTGGCTAATTTCCCTCTATCGCCTGCTTCTTTTGCATGGTGCTCTTCTATTCTTCTGAGTCCTGCCACGCTTGCTTCACCAAGCACCGTTCTCTAGCTCCTTTGTCCTCACCTCAAGTCATTTGAGAGTTGTACCTTGTTATTCCGTATTGTATATACTACTATATTTACTTTTGGGAGGATCAAGAATTTGAATTGGAACTAAAAGAGATCACAATTCAAATACTTGAATTTACTTTCTTTTCTTTTTTTGTTCTTCATTAATTTTCACATTTGCTTGTAATTCCAAAGTATCATTTGTATTATATTTCCAAATTTTCATTGCAAAGGCATGCTTTGTAACTTGTGTCTCTTTGCGGATGTCGAAGCCAGCGACGAAGTCAGGAATTTTATTTAGGGTGTTCAAATTTGAAAAATAAGTAAAAGAAATCCCCGATAAAGGATGTTCAGTATATGTTATCCTAATATTTTACCTATATATAGATTGTAATTTTTCGACAAAGGGTTGTGCTAATGTACCTTCGCCCCGGAAGAAGCACGCTGTAATTCTACTCATTATTGCCTTTATAAATGATCAAACTAGTAAAATAACTCTTATAATTAATAAGAATTTTATTATCATACATTAACTCGATTTACTGTTCCAATATAGTAAAATCAATTTCCTGTTATCCATGACTATTCCTTTGAAGAACACAAATTTTCCGTCCTTGTATTATAGAGTTAGTGACGCGTTTACTCCTGAGTTCTACCAAATAACACATACCTAAATAAACAAAGGTGGCTTAAATACAAAACTTAATGACAGACCTTAAATTTATTTGACAACTAGTCACTTAGTACTTCATAAGAAAAGATAATATTATTACCTATTCAAAGTTAGTGAAAATTTGGTCAGATACTTTTGATCTAGCGACGTATAAAATAAAAATTCAAGTAAGCAAAAAGTTAAGAGTCGTAATTCTTAATTTCGTATGCAATTGTCGTTTATAGCTATAGTATTCTTCCAAGACATGATAATGTCCCTATGATCTTCACAATGAACATGAACTGGTAGTAATATTTATTTATTCTGGTAAGGGTTATTTTAATGTTAACCAGATGCTACACACACTTGGAAATTAGGAAATTGAAATAAAAAATTAGTAACTTGGAAATTAGATATATTTGGATCTTTTTTAATTGTTTAGGGCTATATATGAATCTTTTTAATTGTTCAAGGGCAAGTGTCAAATCATGAAGAGGATATAATATTTAGCTTTTTGCCTGCGTGGCTTCATTGTGGCAAATGTCAATGAAGTTGGACAACCATCAGACAGAGCGACAAATATGGAAAAACAGAATGAAAGACAATCCTATATTGACAAGAACGAACTTTTTCACTAACAAAACTTCAATTCGATTCTCCTACGGCCAAATTTTAATTTGTGGAAAGCCTTCGATGGCCTTTGGCGCCAGAAAGGTGAGGATCAAAATTCGGAGAGTGAAAAGGAAGGAAACCTCTTTTTAAGTCCTACTGCTCTTCTCTCAATCGCTCTTTGGTATATGAAACTAACAACGTGCTGAAAATCGCTTTTTTTAAGAAAAACATATGAAACTAACAACGCGCTCTCCTGTATGAAAAGTAAATAGATGAAAAATTATACGACAAATCAAATACTACAAGGCCAAATTTGGACATTTTTCCTTTATGTTAAACAAAATTAAAAGAGTAAATAAATAATTCATAAAAGATAGTATGTCAAATTGGGAACATGTTCTTTCACATTAATTGTTAAGATCGATTAGTAGTCTCTTGAGCACTAGGGTAGTTGTAGTACCATGGATAGAATCCTCTATTCTTTATTATAACTTTCTAGTTTGAGCCTTATGAATAAAGAAAATTTTGACAGAAATCTTTTCTCCTTTAATAAACCATACACGACATATTCTGATCATACTCAGGTTATAAAATTTTAAATATCGAAGGATTATACAAAAGAGAGCGCACTAGAATTCCATGTGTATAGAGGACAATGTTACCTTATGTTATATGAGAATTTGTACATTTTTTCCAACACTGCATGAGTTAAACTCACTATAACTTTACTAATTGTATCAACGTTATAAAATTAATTTTTTTCCCGTTAAACTCACTGAACTTTATATATTTTATATCAGTAACTTACCTATGTGTTTATTGGCTAGGAAATGTAACTCACCAGAAAGTCAGATTTTCAGCACCAGAAATGAAACATCAATTAACTTTTACAAAAATAAAAATAAAAAAAATGAACAAAGAACTAAGTGATGGAAAACCACAACTTATCAGATAGCTAGTTGACAAAAAGAAATAGGAGGGTGCAAATTCTACATAAAGTAGAGGTTTTACCCAGACGCTATGCACTTTTAAAATTATGAGTTCATAACTGTTATTTTTTAAAATTTTACTGAATTTAATATATAAATTTATACTTTGCGTTGAAGGTTCAGTTAAATTAACCCGACACTCTTATGTTGGATCCGCCACTTCTACCCGGGCCTATGTTTGGCGCCGCAGGGTATCAGCGGGAGAGAATCAGATTCAATTACTTCCTTTGATGAATGATATACTTCTGGCTGTTTCTAGGATCTTCTAGAAGTCTTGTTCCTTCAAAGAATTGTAGTAAGTGTCCTGAGCTTAATAGTGGAAGTCTTTTGCTTTGACCAAAATCATTTTATATAGCATACATGCACCAAACTGATATATATATATATATATATATATGTCATAAAATTGAGGATCGATGTAACGGTTTGTTTCTTGATAATTAAATTTGAGACGAAGACGTTACATCAAGTTATATAATGTCTCATTGAGGCATCCAAATGTGACTAACTTTTTATTTTATTTTTGTCAAAAAGGTACTCCCTGCGGTCCTAAATAAGTGATTTTTTGGTTGTTTTCACACATATTAAGAAATTCACATTTTAATATTAATTAACAATGAATTGACCATATTAATTTTTACTATCTCTTCACATAACACTCCTAACACATACTCCAACATTAATTACTCCAAGGGCAATGTAGGAAAAATATAATTAATTCATTTTTGAAATCTGGAAAAATTACTTATTTTGGACCGGAGGGAGTAACTCGCAGCCGTTATTTTTTGGGTGTGCACATGGTAAATCTCCTCTTATATAATAGCCCGCAAACTATAAAGGAGGGTAAACCGCACTAAGTAAATCCAGTTTGACCGAGGAGGTATGCAAGTGGGTTTCGAACCCTAGATCTTCCATTTGAAAAATCTCATGTTCAACCAACTCGGTCACCTCCAAGGGTAAATATAAAACAACAACAAAAAAAAATCAGTGTATTCTCACAAGTGAATTCTAGGGAGAGTAGGATGTACACAACCTTACCCCTAATTTAAATGGGCAGTGAGGTTATTTCCGATAACGTATCTATGTCAGTATTATTAATTTAGCTTGAAAATAGCTTGAATTACGTAATAACACGACAAGATCCCAGCCGCCTAGAGATTTATTTAAGTCTTTTACCTCACTCCATTAGCACTTAGCAGTGTTCATAATTAAGCAAAAGACGGCCAAAACGATTAAACTTCTAAATAATTTATTACATAAAATAGTGTTTCATAAGATCTTAAAAAGATTTGAGGATTTCAGCTTATTACAAAAAGTCACTAATTGCTATTTGTTTGAATAACTGTAATCAAAGTTTGAATATTGCCAGACTTGGTCCCATTGCTACCTTCAAGATTTAGAAGTCATACAAACATAGACTTGAAGATCATTAACTCTGCTTCTACAACTAAAAACTTACAACAACATTTAATGCATGCGTTGAAGGTAACTAATATATTTGATTCGGGGCGGAGCTAATTTTGTGGTTGCAGGTTTGGCTGAACCCAATAATTAGGGTTCAAATTATATATTTATTTTAAAAATATTCATTGAATATATACAAATTATTGATTTAATACTCAATATCAAAATTTTAAACGCATAAACTTTAAATTCTGACTTCGCTTCTGTATTTGATTGCAGAAGCGATGTGAATGATTGGAGAAATGTTTGTGAATGATTGGAGAAATGTTTAGCCGCCGGGTAGACATATAGTATTTCGAGAACGCATTTAATATGTAATAGTACCAACTTTGTCTCAAGAAAAACGATAAGATGTACCACCCACCAAGGGTGCATATCGTTGAGACCGGATTTTTTGTTTGTATTTAGCATCAAATATATCTTGATCGCAGGGGCAAATTTGACTAGTTTTCTTTTTAAGCCCATTTTGCGTGCGTGAGCGGAAGAATTTTTCTCAAAAATCTCAATTCAAATTAGAAGAACAAGAAACACTTTTTTTGTAATAGTATTTTTTTTCTTGCCTTTTTGTATTCTCACTTTCACAAAGTAATTTTTTTCCTAAGAATTAATAATGCAGCAAATTTTCTCCATCACCCTTTCTACAACATCACCTACAAACCCTTTTCCTATTTGATTGAGATAATAATTTACTTAGGGTAAAAGCTTATACCAAAAATAAACCTTACTCTGAAATCTTATGGAAAATTAGAATCTCGTCTCGATGGGAAGATGCCGACACGTTCTTATGGACATTCTCGTTAAATCCAATTCCCAATTGGATTACTTTGCCCACAAGTCCTTTCATGGACTCTAAGCGTAAAGATCCAATTCTAAATTGGATATGATTTAAAAGTCTTTCATTAATATTTTACATGCATATTGTTACAATCCGAATTTTCCATCTTCAGAAGTCGTGATGACGTCTACTAATGTGAGCTAGGCAAGCCAATCATTTAACTACTTATTTCATTACTCAATTATTTCTTTAAAACAAATATAAGACGATAACATGAAAACAGCGGAACCTTAAATAATTACGTGGAAGATAACAACTAAATATCTAAAATCTGTATCTATTACAACTCTTAAAACCTAAAGCACCCAAAACCTGGTGTCACAGACGGTCTAAGATTTACTACATACAAAGTTTGAAGAAAATGACAATACATTATTTTTGAATAAAAGGAAAATGAAACAGGAAATAAGAATAGAGGAGACGCCAGGGCCCGGATGCCTGCAGGTCTACCTTGGATCTCCGCGTGGACTGAAGGTAGCCTCCACACTACGGTC